CCTGTCCTATCACAGGCTGTATTTTACCAAGAAAATTTTGAATGTTTCGGGCTTCTATGTAAGTGTACATGAGCAAAAGGGACAAAGATAGAAACAGAGATGGTATGCTGGAATGTCGAGGCAAAAGGCAGAAACCATAAAAGTCATGTGAAAGTTGTCTTTGAAAAGGAGGAAAGAGGTTAAAATTGAATGCATTCAAGGACAATGAGAGGGATGTAGGGGCTGTAAAGTCAGTGTGAGATGGGACCATGAGAGAGTTTGTTTGGGAGACCTTGATGACAACAACCACAGAGAAAAGAGAAAAGCAAATTTTGGAACACCAAATAGAACTGGATACTGTGCAGGTCTTTTTAGAGTAACATAAGTAGATTTGGAAGGAATGTAAGAATAAACAGGAGAAAACAAAAGAAGAGAGGTGCCCAGAGAAGTTGTGGATGCTCAATCCCTGGAAGTGTACAAGGTCAGATTGGATGGGGCTCTGAGCAACCTGGTCTAGTTGAAGATGTCCCAGCTTATTGCAGAGGGTTTGGATCTAATGACCTTTAAAAGTTCCTTTCAACTCAAACCATTCTATCATTCTGTGAAAGGGAAAATTAGTGTGTAGAATGAGATTTTAGAAGGAAGCTGAAGAAAGGAAAATTTCTGAAAGGAGTGAGTTGATCAGAGAATTGAAAGAATTGAGTCATCTGGGCAGGTATCAAAATGAGGGATTTAAGTACACTCACGTGGTGTTAAATATGTGAGATGAACCTGGAGGAAGGGGCTGCAGCCTCTTGCTTTCTTTGGTAAGTCTGTATTTTATGTGCTAACTAGAATTTAAGAGTGTAAGTGCAGTTCTGTCTTCTATCGTACATTTTCTGCATGATATATTGCAACTGAAACCAGTTTCTACATTATATAGGGTGTCTGGAATTTGTCAAGTTTTGCCAAATGCAGAATTTCCTTAGGCTCATTGATTCTCAGTGTTTTAAAAAACCACACATCTGTCCCTTGGGAAAGATCTGTACCCTTGTTCGGCATCTGTAAAATGGGGCAACTAGCTCTGCCATAGTACTGAGTGTTGTGACAATTAATTTTTTAAAGACTGTGATAGTACTATGTACACAAATCCCAAGGGTAAAAGAAGGTGAAGTCAGAAGTTGTATTGCAAACTATACTTCAAAGCTGAAGAAATATTTTGGTATTAAATTGAGAAAGGAGTTTTGCCCTACTGCCTCTGCTAAATGTTGTAAAAAATATTTGAATGATCCCTTGCCTGCTTATGTTACATGCCAGTCATGGTAGCATTACAGAACTTGCATGCAAATTCCATTAATGGAGGGATTAAGTTCCTACTTGTCTTTGGAATAAAAAAGCAATTCAATATGTGTATTGTGTTGCTTTTTCTGTTTTTGCAGTTTCAAAGGGATATCTTTCATTGATATATATTCACTACAGACTGAACATGAAAATATTTTTATTATACCTGATTTAACAGTTATTTACATCTTATTATTGCAATATCTTTAAAGATTTGTACTGACATTTTTTCTTATGCATTGAAAAGATTTATTCATTAGCCTGATTTGATATGCTATTTTAGGATAGTGTAGGGTTTTCTAGGTTGGTATCATGACAATTGAAATAATATTTGTGAAGAAATACCTAAAAAGTAAATATCAGTCATTAAATAGATTTACACACAACAAGCAGATTAAACACATGAATGTAATGAATAAAATCTACTTAAAGATAAATCTGCATGCTATGTAGAGTGCTTATTGGGGTGAAGTGAAGCCATAAGTGTGCCAGAATTTCACAAATGATCTTAGAATTTTTCAGAAACAATCTCAAGAGAGAACAAGAGTAGTAAACAATATAGTTAAACAACGGCTTTGGCAGGGGCAATCGGCAAACCAAGTCAGGAATTACTGCCTGTAAGACTGGAATTTGACATCAGATTCTAAGAAAAGAGTGTTTCTAGGTGTGAGCTGGATGTGAGATTAAATCTGGGACTGAAACACATCTGCTTTCATTTCTGTGTATAAGAATCTCTGTCTGATTTAGAGTCCAGTTTCCCATCATGCTTAGGACAGTTGCAGGATTCAATTCAATTACTTAAAAGTAGGAATCTAATGTCATTGAAGGTGCTATAGAGGTGTCTTTGAAATGCACATGTACAGGTATTTGTACAGGGTGTGTATAGGGGAGACCTGCACTCTTCTAAATGGCAGCTGGAGGCCAGGTGGGATGCCCTAAGGAATCTGCAGTGATGGCAGCTGCCTGCATTAAGGCAAGGGAATCAATACCAAGGGGACTGGGGTGAGGCGAATTGTTCTCTGAACTTTTGATGGTACACATGCTAGATCATTATTTTATTGGCTAGATCTCAACTGACTGCTCTGGGAGCTTAAATACCTAGGGTACATGTAAAGAGCTGTGCTGGGAATTTGATTGATGAAATCAGAAATGGAATTTAATCCTAACTGTAGAAAAACAAATTGATTCATTTCTACTGGTTTTTTTGGGGGTTTTTTTGTTAGGTTGTTTTTTGTGCAAGTAGTGCTTTAGAGAGATAAAGGCAGAGAGATACACTTAGCACAAACTGGTTTACTGAGTTTCTCAGAGCATATATTAATGAACAACTAGTGTACTTTAACATCATAACAGGACACAGCAAAAGTGCAAACAATTACTCTAGTTCCTCTAGTTTCTTAGTTAGCTACAAAGGCTTAGATGCTGGATTCCTGACTAATTATGTAGAAAAATTGGCACAAGTTGATGGATGGACTTTGTTAACTCCAAATATATTGCAGCAGTATGATGCTGTGTGGTACTAGAGGCCGAGAGAAGTTCTCTGCAGAAGCCTTAGATTGGAAAGACATTAAACTGATATATGTTTCTCAGAATCAGCAATAATAATGCCAAAGTCCAAAATAAGGTAGTGAAAGGCCAAATGGTGTATTAGATAGTGCTATTCTGCCTCTAAGAAAGGAGCACAAAGACAAAACAGTGGCTGCAGGGCTGACTACACAAACGCCAGGGCAGTTGTCTTTGCAGATGCTTTGGGAGACAAAGATGGACCATTCCAGCTGCCTATTTAGGCAGGAACTGTCTAGGCTTAAAAATAACCGGAGATGCCAGACCTCATGTTAAGAGAAGTGTCCCCTTTTCAAAACAGGAGTTCAAGTCCTGCAAATCTGCAAAGCCACCATTGCTTGGGAAAGGGCCAGAAACGTACTTCTAAATGGCCAGAGATCATTTTCATTTTTAGAAATAATTAGGTCATTCATCAATCTGTTGTCTAACAAAAGTGTGCCATTTAGATTTAATTAATACAGATGAATGTTTTTGGTCTGATGTGAGAGTTATTTTGGCTCAGATCCCAAACAATGACTTCCAACCCCACTGTTTGATGTTGAAGTCTGTCCCTGTTCATTTAACTCTCCCATGAAATTACTAGACCTAGGAGTGAGGCTTTCAAAGCAGAAACTGGTTTTAATTATTAACGAAAGTAAGTCAGCTCAGTAGACCATAGATGGGTTCCAGATGATTACCAAAATTTCCCTTTTTTCTCAGTTTTAACATGACACAGTTAATGCACATGATGCCTAACACAACTTGAAGAAATAATCAACATTATACAAACCTAATTCTATTAAATTTTTCTGTCTGACATTCCAATATGAAGTGTGAATTTTTAGTGAAAACAGCCTCATTCAGTATTTATAACACAGGCATTGCAGGACTTGTAACCTAAAAATTAAATTGACCAAAAACAAATTTGAAAATCACTCCACTGGAATAGAGTGATAGATTTAACAGGTAAAGGATGGTGAATGCCTTTGTGGTCCAAGGAGGATCTTATGCTCCCAGAGGTAATAATTAGGTCTTGACACTAATAAGGAACAAATTTTTTACCGTTACAAATACTCTGACATATTAAGCCTGACATGCTAGAACAAGAAGAGATTAAGCATCTTTTACTCTCTTTTTCTTATTTTTGTCCAGGTTTGGTTATCCAAGGCAGAATTTCCTGAGATCTTTTTCTCTGTTGTGAAATAAATATACAGGCAGCCTCTGTTTTGGAGACATTTAATGTTTCAGGTCAATGATCTTGAAGCAGCAAGGAGCATTGAGAGATTAGGGTATTGTGGGTGTGGAACCAAATGAGTGCTGCAACAGACTATTTAGCATGGCACAGCAAACCAGCACTGGTCTGTGGCTTAAAAACTGTGATATTGACCACTGTACTAGTACATAGTGCACTGCAACGGGAACAAGTCCATGTAGTGAAAAAGTTGTTGCTGACCTGATGAACACATGTAGATTTAATTTCTACACCTGATGATGTAGATCCACCCAAAAGAAATTAGTTTCTCATGCTTTAAAACTGCTCTGCAATCCAAAGCACAACCATTAAATGGGGTCTGCTCAGGGGTTTCCTTTGAAAGTAAATATTTGAAATAAAGTAGTACCAAGTTGTTTAACTGTTCCATGAAAACTCATGCAGAAGGTTTGATTTTCATGTATGTTTTTCAAGCTGACACTTTTCCCTTAAACTTCCAGACATTTCAGTCTTTGAATATTTGAGGCATATACATAAATGGAATAAACAGCAGAGGGTGGCTTTCGAGTGATGGGCACTTGGTATTATTTAGTAAACTTCATTATACAGGCATCAGCGGTCTATTTGTTTTGCAAGATGTACCCAGAAATGCAGCTGGTGGAGAGCTCCCTTTCTTATCAAAAGATGATTGAAATTATTATATGCAAGGCTGTAAAGGACTATTTTATGTTGAATTAAATTGATTAGAATGAAGACATGCATTTTTTCTAATAAAGATTAATCCAGATTTTAGAAAGAAATTATCTCTACATCATATGAAATGACTTTTACTGCTATAACCTTTGAGCCAAATAAAAGCAGTAAAAGCAGACAAAGGTTTATTAAATGTCAAGTAATTAAAACTATATAAAAAGTCTGTATTTTTCATGTCAAACTTCTGTTTTTGTTTTAGCCAAAGCAACGTACATCCATAGTATCTTCTCTGGAATTTCACCGAATGAATCATAGCCACAATTATTTTGAAATCAACCCATCCATTGGTTGTGCAAGTTTTATTTCTACTCCTGCAATCAGTCCAGCTAATTATTCCTTTGGATCTCTGGAATACAATCTTGAAGAGAAAGAACTTACAGGTATAGCAAAAAAAGCTCACTTTATCTGTCAACAAAGCTTTATAAAACTTTATGTCTTTGGGTTTAAGTTGGAATTGCTGTTGTCTTTGGTAGTAAAATACATTTATCATAAATACAAAAAATTATTCCTGATTTTTTTTCTTACTACTCTAGAAAGAGTTCTGCTATTTTATGACCAGTATTATAAGACATACCTCTTTCCTGAATATTCTATTTTGAATAAAAAACCTTTAATTTCCAGACATTCCTAGAAATTAGGTATTGTAGTTTTTGAAATGATGATGACTCATACATCTACTTTCAGTATTGTGTGGTCAATATACTCCAATAAGAATTTTAAGTTGAAAAAATGTAATTAGAAAAGATTATGTAATCACCAGTAAAGATGAGGAAGGGAAGATTTCTAAGAAATCTGTGATTGTTTCTTCAATAGTGATGGGATTCATTAAAGTAAAACTTCAATGTATTTCCTCTGATGATAAGTGTTGAGTGGAGTGATGGAACGGGGAAGGTTTTATCTGTAAACAGAGATTCACATAATGAAAATGCTTTAAAAAGGATTAAAGTATTTCCTTTTTTGCAGATGAAAGCTTCAAGAATGGGAAATTTTCAGTAAACCAAGCATTTACCTTTGGCCTTTCAAATTCCATATAAAAGTTGCTTTATTTAGACTAAATTTGTGGCTGAAGGGTGTAGTTATGATGTTATGAAACAGATGTCTGATAGCTAGTTTATGGATCTGCAGATCAAGTTTAAAAGGGTATTTTATTTTAAATATAAATAGGAGTAGGTTACTGTAAAATAAAAATAATAAAAATTTTGAAATTCACTGCGAACTTGTGAATTGGTTTTTGTGGCACTGGTCTCAAAATTAGATGAATCCTCTTCATTCCTAGTTGGTAGAGTTAAAAAAAAAATCATAGCTAGATCAATAGGAAACTATAAGTTTAGGGAATTCTTGTGAAATAAGAGTGAAAAATCCTATATTCTTTGATGAAGAGACAGCTAAAATGATCAGAGATTATTCATATTGGTTTTTTGGATTATAATATAAACAGAGATAATATGTGTAATCTTTTAAACTAAAAGAATGTGCTTATATCAAAGATCTAGAAAATATTTTCAAACTTAACTGGAAGCAATTTGAATGGTATCTTTTATTCCTAGGTCGGGGGTCATTTGATTCTTTAATGTTTTGGTTGTTTTCTGTTACTGTTTTATTTCTATGGTAAATTCTTCTCAGGAATCACAATTTTATTCTGGGTAGTTGAACGATACTAAATATTTCTTGATGTTTAAAACCAAAGATAAGAAAACAGAGACAACATTCACTGACATTAGATAATTAACTTCTCCAGATTTCTGCTGTTGCACAATTTTGTTAAAGTTCTTCATAGTATCTGGATTCCCTTGGATCATATCTTCTTTGGTTACATCTACAATGGCCTACACTCAGTAACTTCTAATTATTGCATTTAATTTTATCTGAGATTGGGACTATAAGGTCATGCTTCCTAGAATTTTATGCTTCTAATTTGTGGAAGATTTGATTTATGGATTGAGTGAAAGCTGAATTTCCTTTTATCTCTGCACAGAAAGCTAAGAAAAAATGACAGGCAAAATGACTGAAGTTGAGGGCATCTTAGACAAGGTTTTCAATAGTGCATTTTACCATCAGTAACCCTTAATTTACCATTAGTAAATGAAATATTTACAGGAAAATTAAAATTCCACCCTCCATTTTCAGCTGGTATCCTAGAATTATTTAAGTACTATACAGGATCACATATTAGACACAATATTACCCTGAGTGAAAAAACCTACATTTTGTTTTGATCTTTTAGTTCACTTTGACTCTTTACTGACAGATGATGCATGGTAACTCTGCAAAAGACAAGGAGTACTAATGTGGAAAGAGAATAACAAAATCTGGAAGGAACAGACCAAAATTGTCTCTCTTGGAAAAGTCTTTAAGGCTTGTCTTCTATCTAAAATAATGGTCAGCAAGGAGCAGCAGAAATAGTGTTCTGTGTTCTGCTACAGCTTTTCTCTGCTTTAGCTAGCTGTTGTTTCACTGAAAGGTCCCTTGTTTCTTTTCAAGATCTACAGTGACAACAAATACAAGTCATCATATGACCTAAATATAACCTTCTGTAAGTTCATGGAAAGTCTGCATCTTAAAATAATGGTTAGTTTAATTGAAGATTTGTGTGCATTTGAGTGAAATGATTTAAATACTTTTTACAGGATTTCTAAATCAGAAACTTCCATCTAAATAAGGCATAAGTATTTCCCTATTCTTAGTGCTTTTTATGTTTTCTTCACAATATTTGCAAAGATTCATTATAATTCAGATAAAAGTGAGACATGAATACAACAAAATAATTATTCTAAAATATTCATAATTTTACCTTTACCTCAGGTAGTCTAGACTACCTTTGGTAGCCTGCTACCAAAGAATAATCAACCTGTTTTTCATGGTTCCTTTTTATGTTTGGGGATCACAGTTGTGCTCTTGGTGTTTGCTAATTCCCTACATCACAAGATTTGAAACAGGGGTCCCGATTTTTAAGTGTATTTTTATCAAATAGAAAAACACTGAACTCTTTCACGGGTATATTTAATATCTGAGACATATTATCTGAGTGACAGTATATGTCAACATCTCAGATTAATTATCCGGAGAACAGGCCAAATACAATGGTAAATATGTGCTTCAGCTTTGGCATCAGGTAGCCTTGTAAAGTAAACAGACCAGGTATGTTGTATGCATGGATGGCAACAGATATCTTAAAATCAGGTTGCCTGATGTAAATATAAAGGTTCTGTCCTTTGTTTTGAACTTTAACTGGTGGGAATGACCTGCAACAAGCTGGCAGCATTTCTCTCACTCCAGTGCGTGTAGGGCAGACTGTGTGAATGCAGCATTGGCATGACCTCTTTTCAGGGCTTTGTCTGGTGCTAGATCATTGACATCAGAGAAGCATTCTTGAATTCCAAGTGAATGGTCATGCTTTCATGGCATTGCATTTCACCTCAAATTGGAAGCCAGTGCATCCCAGTAATGTCAGCTACTACACATAGTAGTATAATAAGTTACGGTACTAAAAGTGAGACCACTTTATTGCATAGGGAGTCATTTCTGTAGGCATCTCTGTCCCAGCAAGATGCATGTGATTTTCTTCATCATCTAAATACATGTTTAGTAGGTGTTCTGTAAGATAACACACATGAAAAATTAAATACCTGATAATCACGTGATTGTTGTTTGTGAGATGTTCCTTATGTTGCTTTGACCATGAACTAAGACCACAGATGTGCAAGATAATTCACTCCAGGAGAGGGCAGCCTGGGCTTTCAGGGAAATGCCTGCCTAAGAGATCTCTCTGCCTTGTTTTCTATATCCCTCAAATTCTCTTGGAACTGTGAATCTTAAAGATTGAAGGCAACAAAATTGTGGCCTTTTGGTAACATTGGCTTGGCGCAATCAACACTTCCAGCTGAAACTGTCAGTCTGGATGATTTTCTTTTTTGTTTTTACTTGATCAGTCCAAACAATGGATCTTTCTCTAACCCGTATAAATTCATTATGTCTTCTTGTCCCGAGTATAACTGGGCCATGAAATTAAAAGGACACTTCTGCAGAGGTTCTTGTTCTGTTCCAGCTCACAAAATAGGTTTGTACTGGTATTTTTGCTGCATACTTCATGTATGCAGCAAAAATACCAGCAGATGTCTGAAGGTAATCACATTGCAATCTTTATTTTCAGCTCGTGAAAATCTGTACATTTTCAATAAGTTCAGTATGCCATTCATTGTAAACGAGGATACAGTTTTTGTCTCATCTTGTTGTGGTAGTGAGGAGTATTTACTGAGTTTATCTCTTAGTCAGAAAGGCTGTTTCCGCTGGACCTTAAAGTAGCTGTTACTGCTTTTAAATGCCATGTTCTCTGACTGTGAGAGACATTTAATACATCTGAAGGCTACATTTTTCCTTAAAACAGGCTGGAATGAAAAATTTAATCTTTAATGTGTGGACTATAATTTTTTTTCTTTTACTTTTGAAAAAATTATATTTGAGTCACACCTTTGATTCCTTCTATAAGTGTCTTAAGATTTTTCTTTACAGTACATATCTCATGAAATTGTTCTGTCTCATAAGCCCTATTTCAGAAGGAAAAGTAGCCCTAAAAGCTCAAAACTTGTAGTTTTTTCCTTTTCTTTTGAGAGAATCAGGAAATACAGCCCATTAGAAATAGAAACATTTTTCAGAAATCAGGCCTAAAATTCTTGGCTATGTTGCATTCCTTTATGCAGTCAGAATTTATTCTGGTGCAGGAATGTTTATTTATGTGACAATAGCAAAGCTGCTCTTTGAAGTAGGTCATGTATTTGTCAACATTACTTTCTCATTCAAGTATCTCATGTATTAAGAGCTGATATGAAAATATCAAACTCTGATGTCTATGTAGACTCTTCAAGCCTTGTTTCTTCAATTATAAAAGATTTTGGAATGACTAGAAGTGAAATACAAAATGAAAGGAATACAAAGAAGAAGAAAGTAACTTTTATTGCCAGAGCACTTTTTTGGGTGTGCTGTATGCAAGTTCATGGTACACTGTCTTTGTTAACAAAACCTCACTAATTAGCAAAAGAACACGTGATTTTCAAGTGACAGAAAAAGGGGAAAATATTAGCTTGTAATGAAATCAGAATAATCAACAAATTTTGGTAGGTAAAGCATTCCAATCTCCTTTGTCCAGATGCCTGTATATCCAGTGAGGTAATGCCAGTCTGTACCAACTTGTCATTGATTGAAAACTCTTTTCCAGATGAAATGGCTTTGAAGGTCAAATTCAAGCCCTCTTTTCTCTGGTTTTCAATTTTCTTCATCATCTTCTTGATTACAATGCAACAAATTCTGCCAAGGCATTCTTCAAAACAGGTTAATTTGAACCTTTTCATCTGTGAAGATTATCTGGTTTTCCCTGTAATTTATT